AAACACAGCTTATATGAAGAGCTAGTCATGAGGTGTAGAGGCCTCTTCTGTGGATACAGCAAAAGAACTGCTATTCCAAGAGCTGCAAATTAAATAAGATGAAATTCTAATAGGATTGTGGCAGTAAAGTCAGTGATTCTGCAGCATTTAAAGGATCAGACAGGATGACTAAAACATCTCCCAGTCTGAATCAGTTCTGATTTGACATGCAGCTATTGGTGGAGCATTGAGTGGGATGGATGTCAACTACTCAGAAAAAGTCATTGTGGTGTTCCGAGCTAATGTCATGCTACTAGGAGTGGGCTACATATCCTGTTAACACTTCCAGTTGTTCCATCTAGTGCATTGCTCTTATGATCAGTAAGATAAGAACTCTGGTTCGAAATTCATCTTTTCATTAACTTTTTATGCATGGAACAGTACAGTATTAGAGCAATGCAAGGAGGACAAGAAGATTATCATATCACTTGAACAACGTTAGAAATGTGACTTGAACGCTTTATGAACTGTATTTTAACATATCCAACTTAAGAGAGTATCCTCCATTTCTTCTACCACAGATGCATAGGTTTGGCTTTAAGGATAAAAATAAATGATGACAGTCTAGTCTCTAAATTACCAATTGATTTCTGATTACACTGGATGAGATGGGAGTATCGCTTAGTGGTTAAAAGCATTCCATCCATACCAATTCTAGTTGTATGCCTTGTTTCAGTGGTTTAAACTTTTTGAGTCAGTTTCATTATTTGAAAATTTAGGGAAAATAACAATACCCATTTCATGGGGTTGTTGTGAAGAATAAGCAAGACAATATATATAAAGTAATTAGCATAAAATAATCCTCAAAGGATTATCATTATCATTTTTTAAAATTAAGATTAGGTTCCTAGAGAACAAAGAATAGGAATGTGTGTGTCTCATTCACCACAGAACCTCCTACACCTGGCAGCCAGGCTGATACCCAGGACTCAATATTTGTTTTTTCATTTTTAAGTAATATTAAAGATGTCTCTACTTCATATCTCTTTTTAAAATCAAACTACCTATACTTGTCAAGAGCAGCAAGATAGTCATAGGAATATTCACTACTCACATGCCATGTATCACTCATCATAGCTCCTGAGTGTTCCTGATATGAAATTGGAAGCATTTTTTGGTGCCTTATTCAGTCCTACATACTCTTTAGTAAGAACAAATTGTCCCTTTAAATTCCATTTTAGAATGCTAAATCTTCTAAAACTGCAGTCCCCAACACCCCTGGCTGTGGCCTGGTACCAGTCCTTGGCCTGTTAGGAACCGGGCCATAGATCACCACCTGAGTTCCGCCTCTCTCCACCCCACACCCCTCCCCATCCTCCTCCCCATCCATGGAAAAATTGTCTTCCATGAAACTCCACCTATTCTGTCTGCAGATATCATCAATATGTCTTATCTCCAGGAGGACTGTTTAAATCAATGTAAGTTCCAGAAAGACAATGTGATTTCAGTATATTTTGATAAAAGGATCCCACTTTACATAACCTGTCTGCCTGACTACTCTGAGAATGAAATCTACTTACTTTTCTAATATTGAGTACCATTATAATAATATGTGACTAAATATATTAATTCTGAGATTTTTAAATTCTCATATGGTCCTGCTTTTACTACAAGTCCTACAGAATTCCAAGAATAGCATGTGACATACTTTATCAAACACTATCCCTAATGACCTAGTTTCATTCTTTTCTTGGCAGTCTTCCAAAATACAGCATCTCATCAAGAAAAAACTTAGAGAATTTTTGGAATTATTCTCCTGTAGATTTCATCATATTGGGAAATGGGAATCATTTAAGGGGATTATGGAAGCCCCCCTCTAAGAGTGATTCAAATACATGATTTTTAGATACTATGTTAAAAAGTGGGAGGTTAGTCTTCTGAATTAATAGAAATAAAGATGTAAGTTCAAAATATTTCATGGCAAATAAATACTGTAGTACTGTTTAGGCTGACAGTTTGTCTTCCGAAAAAGTGTCATTGGCTCTTCATTTTTCTGCTAGATAAGTTCAGCCACTTTGCCTCTTCTTTAAGGCTCTTTACAACGTGAACTTAATTGTCCAACCTCAGCTCCATAAGCCTTCTAGAAACCCTGTGCTTTCTCCCATTTGGGACCTCTTAGCCTAGAATCCCTGAGTCATAGAATGGCAAAGAGCCCCCTTACAGGGTCACCCCACCCATTTCCGATGTTTTGTGAGCAGAACATAAATTTTTGTGGTGTTAAACCATAGAGTTTCTGGGTTTGTTTCTTCAATATGAACTATCCTATCACATTTAATAAAGATGGAATCTCCTGCAAGACATCTTCCCTAATCCATCAATGAGAGAACTAAATTTAAACTTTTCTAAGAGATAGGGCCAATGACAGGATCAGGACAAAACCTCCCATTCATAAAGGACTTCAACTTTAGACTTTTTAGAATGATGCCAAATGCAGTTATGTACTCATTGTGTTTGTCTTTGTGCTTAAAAGCAGTAGCATGT